CTGGCTGGGGTTTTGGATCCGCCGCCAGCGCCTCCATTCCTGGACTCAAGTGCGAAGCCGTTTCCAGGATCCCAATCGTTTTTGTTTTTTTAACTACAAGTGATTAAGATTAGCAACTGTCCTTTGTTTTCCGTTTCTTTTGATTTTTTCATCTTTCTTTCTTAACTTTCGGAGTTTCTGTTTTGCAGGCCTTCTTCTTTTATCTTGTTTGCTTTCCTCTAATTCTTGTTTTCACTTTTACATACTCTGTTTCTATTTATTACGCAGCAGAATATTTTAGAGCAAGGCCACACGCTCACACACACTGTGACTAGTGACAGAAGAATACCGTAGGGACGGTCCCATTTTATTCTTCTTCTCCTTTCTTGTTTTTTTTTTGGGTAACATAATGGATGCAGGGGGATCCGTCAACTTGTCATCATCATTATCGTCCTCCGCCTCCTCCTCCGCCAGCAAGACCAGATCTCGCTTCCCTCTTCAGGAACACCACCTCCTCCAGAGGAGAACTTCCCGGGATAACGTAACTCATTGCTCGCTATACTGTTGCTTTTCTCCTTGTTTATCCTTTACTTTGTCATACACTTGTCTCTCTTCTGCTACCTAATTTATTTTTTTTTTTGTCAATTCATTTGTTCTACTCTCTATTAATTAGGCCCTTTTTCACCATGACTATCTTGTTATGAACTTTTTTTTTAACTATCATTACAAGTGTTGTGATTGACGTCTGATTATGCTTTTTTTGTGTGTGCGTGTGTGTGTGAAAAATACTTCCGGTGGGATTTTATTTAGCCTGTTGTTCTGAAGAGGCTGCAGTTTTGTTTTCCTTGATGATGTGTGTTTATCTGTTGAAAATTCAACCATCTTAAAAGCTTTTGTTTCTGTGACAGTTGGATAGGTTTATACCCAATCGATCTGCAATGGATTTCGACTATGCTCATTACATGCTCACAGAAGGCAGGAAAGGTAAGGAAAACCCAGCCGTGAGCTCGCCTTCTCGGGAGGCTTATCGGAAGCAGCTTGCGGAGACCTTCAACATGAACAGGACCAGGATCCTTGCTTTCAAGAACAAGCCACCTACCCCTGTCGACCCTATCCCTGCTGACTTCTCGACTGCTGCCAACAACTCCAAGCCCACCAAATCCCGTCGCTACATCCCCCAGGTTGGTATTTTACCCGTAACTTTGAGAATTGATTTCAGATTCAGCTGTTGAGGAGTATTTCTTTTTAATTCCTCGAATAATTAATTGTTCTCTTCTCCTGCTGTGGTCTGTATTCGTTTTTTTACAGACTTCAGAAAGAACTCTGGATGCTCCTGATATTTTGGATGATTACTACTTGAATCTGCTAGACTGGGGCAGCAGCAATGTTCTTTCAATTGCCCTTGGAAGCACAGTGTATTTGTGGGATGCAACTGACGGAGCTACCTCAGAGCTCGTCACGGTTGATGAAGAAAATGGCCCCGTGACGAGTGTTAAGTGGGCTCCCGACGGAAGCCACGTTGCTGTTGGTTTGAACAATTCTGATGTTCAGCTCTGGGACTCCACTTCTAATAGACTGGTCTGCTCCTTGTTCCCAAAGTTAAATTTTCGGGATACTGCTGCGTATTCTTCTAATTTGTGTATTAAACCATTCGTTCCCTTTTCGCGCTGCTCTTGCTGCAGCTAAGAACCTTGAAAGGCGGCCATCGTTCGCGCGTCGGCGCACTTGATTGGAACAGTCACATTTTGACTACTGGAGGAATGGATGGACAAATAATTAACAATGATGTGAGAGTGAGAGCACACATAGTTGAAACTTATAGAGGACATCATCAAGAAGTTTGTGGCCTCAAGTGGTCGGCCTCCGGCCAGCAATTAGCCAGTGGCGGAAATGACAATCTCCTCCATATATGGGATAGATCCACGGCTTCTTCCAATGCACCCACACAATGGCTTCACAGGATTGAGGACCACACAGCTGCTGTCAAAGCTCTTGCTTGGTGTCCCTTTCAGGGTAACTTGCTGGCCTCAGGTGGAGGTGGTGGTGACAGGTCCATTAAGTTCTGGAACACCCACACTGGTGCCTGCCTGAATTCAGTTGACACAGGCTCACAAGTTTGCGCTTTGCTGTGGAACAAGAACGAGCGCGAACTGCTTAGCTCTCACGGTTTTACTCAGAATCAGCTCACTCTGTGGAAATATCCTTCGATGGTGAAGATGGCAGAGCTTACTGGTCACACATCCAGAGTCCTTTTTATGGCTCAGGTCAGGTGCCTGGCTGCTACTTACTACTGATTAAGTAGTTTTTTTCGATCTGTTTGTAACCTTTCCTAGGTGTGTTTGTTTGTTTATATTGCAGAGTCCCGATGGATGCACGGTTGCATCCGCAGCAGGCGATGAAACTCTCCGATTCTGGAATGTGTTTGGCACTCCTGAAGTGGCAAAACCTGCACCAAAGGCGAACACCGAGCCATTTGCTAACTTGAACCGCATTCGTTAAGTCGGCGTTGGTGTAAATAATGCCTAAGGGAATGATAGATTGATTATCAACTAGTACTATCTTTGTAATCTTCTCTCTTTTTTTTCTTTTTTTTTTTTTTTTTTTTGTATAGGGAAAAGGTTCTTTGCCATTTTTGCAGCTGATCTTAGGATACTAGAGAGAGCTATTGAAATTTTGAGTCATCTAATTTTTTACCTGTGGATGTACTCACCGATTGTGACGAACCACAAAATACAATAATGTTTTTATCCTTGATTAATTTTTTTTTACTTTGTGATGTTTAGATGTGGGCAGAAAGGGTAAATTCCACTTTGTCCCCTCAAACTATAAGTAGAATCTCCATTTCAATCCCTAAACTTCAAAATGGGACATTTAAATTCTTAAACTATAAAACATGTTCCGCTTTACTCCAATTTTTAACAGAATGCACAAAACCTAATGAAATAGTTGCCAATTCTGTTAGTTATTATTATAATTAAAGTTAACCAAATCCAATAGGGACATAAGTGCAATTTCATGAAATCCAAAGCTTTTGATACGCTCCAAATTTTTAAAAATTATTCATTCACCTTCTTTCTCTTACTCCTCATCTCTCTCTTCATCTCAACCACACACCGCCCATGCCACCCACTACCACTGTTTGCCAGCAGAAGCTATGATCTTACCCTTGACTCACCGATTGTGACGAACCACAAAATACAATAATGTTTTTATCCTTGATTAATTTTTTTTACTTTGTAATGTTTAGATGTGGGCAGAAAGGGTAAATTCCACTTTGTCCCCTCAAACTATAAGCAGAATCCTCATTTTAATCCTTAAACTTCAAAATGGAACATGTAAATTCTTAAACTATAAAACATGTCCTGCTTTACTCCAATTTTTAACAGAATGCACAAATCCTAACGAAATAGTTGCCAATTCTACCACCGTTTGCCACCAGAAGCTCTAATCCTACCCTTGACTCAGCAGCCCTCCATTTGTTAATTCTTGTAACATAATCACAAAAAAAAAATTCTAAATACCAAAATCAAATCAATATCAACAAAAAATTTTACAACAAAAAAAAAAAAAGAAAGAAGAAATTCAAAGAACATGCTTGGTATGAACAATTCTGAAGGGTCTGACAGTTTTGGGGTCATTATTAACAAGCTACGAGGCTCAGGACATGCAACTCCGTTTGGACAACCCATAGCCATAGACAACAAAAAGGAAGAGTTGAAAAAGAATCTCCTCCAACTCCAACATAATTACACATTCTCAAACCCAATCTGAATCTCATCAAGACTATTTTCTGTTGCTAGTTTGGATATGAACACCCATTCATCTTTTTACTTTTAATCTATTATTCACAGATCCAAACCTATGTAAAAGAAAAACATATTCACGAATCCCACAAAAATTAGTCGTGCCTAGATCAAATGGAAATGGATTTAGGAGATGATATAAAAATTGAAAAAAATAATAACAATTAAATACTTTTATTAGCACAAAATAAAAGTGAAAAAATAATGGGTTTTAAAAGAGAGAGGGATAAGGGCGGAACTTGGTGGTGGGTCATGTAGTGGGAAGAGAAGAGAGCACTAGAGCAATGGAAGGCTAGGCTGATAGAGAAAGTATGGAACAAGATATTTTTGGTGGGGTGAATAAAGAAGAAGGGATAAGAAATTGGGTGGGGTGGCTATTCAAAGAGGAGATAGGAAACAAGTTATAGGTTGTGATAAGTATAAATGGTGATGTATTGGTATGTCAAACATTTTGTGATTTCTTACGTGATAAACATCATATTTTGGATTCATCACCGGGGAGAAAAATGAAGTAGTAAAGTGTGGCGGACGATGATGGCAGGCGAGAAGGAAGATGATGTGTAGCAGTGGTGGGTGTGCGGTAATGGAGGAAGAAGACAGTGAAGAAAGAAAGAAAAAAATAGAAAAGGAAATGAAAGAAAAATAGAAAAAAATGTGGAAAAATAAAAGAAAAGAAAAGTTTAAAAAAATGGCTTTTTGTTTAAAAAAGGGAAAAAACTTTAATCTTTAATTATTATTAATTAAAGAGATAAAATTATCTTTATCTCTCTGTCTCTTTGTTTTTTTTTTATATTGGGTCTCATGAAATTACATTTATATCCCTATTAGATTTGATTAAATTAAATTATAATTATAACCTAAATGAATTGGCAACTGTTCTATTAGATTTTATGCATTCCATCAAAATTTGGAGTACAGTGGGACAGATTATATAGTTTAAGGATTTAAATGTTCCATTTTAAAGTTTAGGGACTAAATGAGATTTTGGGCATAGTTTATGGGGACAAAATGGAATTTACTCGGCCAGAAATGAAGAGGTACCACAAATTGGGCCGTCCTTGCTCATTAATTTGTGCCAAAATGTCAAAAAGAGAGATTCAAGACACGTTCGCTTGTGGCTCACTTCTACAAAGTAAAAGATTGACTTTATTAACATGTCCAAAAAGTGAAAAGGAGAGTTGTGGCAAAAAAGGTCAACAACCCTTTCAAGACAAAAAAAATTTTTTTGACTTAATACAAGGTATTTGGTGCCTGAAAGATGTTTCAACTGCATAAAATATGCAAAATCCTGCATCCATATAATGATAGTTAGAAAAACATCCCAATCATAGTTTGTACTGCAGAAATGGAAGGGAAAGGAAATGAAAGGAATAGGAGGGATTTGGTCTTTTGTGTTTGCGTTGATTTGTTCAGGAGGTAAAGAAAATGACATGAAGGGATTGGGACGGACTGGATCCAAGTATTTTTCTGGAGTTTGGTTTCCACCCAGAAGTAGTTGGCAACTGAGGGATAGGAGATCATCTTTTTTAGTTAAATTATGTTCTATTGCCTAATCTACATATGACCTTTTCTTTTCCTTCCACATCAAATCCAAATAACATGGCCGGAAACAACTTGACTTGACTCTCAACTCCTTTCTTTTCACCGCTTAGTATCCTTTCCTTTGATTTCCTTCAATCCAAATGGTGGCTTAGACAATTATATGCAATGTGAAAAAATTCCTACGATGTTTAAAGTGAATCATGACTAAGCCCGAGATATAAGTATCAGTTTCACAATATTAACTAATTTACGCCTACATTCCATAATAGATCAGAAACCAGACAATCCTACAGATGAGGATGGCATCAACCAGGATGGTAAAAGCTGTCCCTTACTGTGATCAAGAACACAAATTACATCCTAATTAGTGCCCTTATATTGTGTAAATAAACTTATTAGCACTCTGGCAGACTAGATTGAAAATAGAAATGCATCACTAATTACCACGAAACAATAAAGCAGACAAGTGCTAGTTTCCAATTAGAGTTTGCTTGATGTGGGCCCCTTCTGCAACAAATACACCCAGTAGCAACATTAACAATAACTTGAGCAATCATAAGGGTCACAGCCGCAGTTAGTCCAAGGCCCAATGCAGGGCTCCTTGGATATACACAGACATCAGGAGAGGGAAATTTAACCTGATCTCCCTGCAAAAAGAATAGAAAAGCCATTAACTCCTTCAAACATGCATGAAGAGAATTTCCAGGAAACCAGGACCTAATGCACTCCACACAAAATGCAACACTACAATAGTCCTCTGCAACAAAGTCAGCCACCAGCTGATATATGATCCTCCAATCCATACAAGTTAAAAAAAAAAAATTTTTTTTGATACCCTAAGTTAACAGTGCAGGAAACGCAATTAACAATTATGCGCTCCAGTCTGCAGATAGCACGTTACGCTTGTTTTACAAACATGAGTTCAGGGTTGTTCATGCTTGATGTAGATATTTGAACTACTCATCCATGTTTAGATGAACTTGTTATCCCCATGATTCAAGGCTGATAGAGAAGTATAAACTAAGAAACTAGAGAAAAGAACGTTTCAGCTGATTTCAACAGTCTCGAAACAGTTTTACAAAAAAATTTTACTCACAACAGAGGCGAATGGATGTTTTGCTTTGCAAAAGCTCAGTGGCTGCGATATTGGAAACTAAATGACAGCTGGAAAGAAAATTTTGCTTTTGCTCATCCCCCTCTATTCCTCAGACCATTAGACCAAATATCAGAGACTGCACCACGGAAATCCCAAATGCATTGCAGCATCCAGAAGGCTATTTTGATAGAAATGCTAGAGGTAAAGCACATGAAAGAGCACAAGACTCAACCAACATATGCTCCTCGTCAGATGGAATGCTCACCATTTGTATACTCTTAAGCATCCAGTTAGACTTAGTTACCAGTTCAAACTTCAAAAGTCAGACAGAATAGCCTAGAGAAAAGAAGATGGGTAGCATTGCTTGATATGGCTTCAGCTCATGAGGGGAGACAACACAAGCACCAAAACGAAATGAAAGATGCCTTTGGCACTTTAGCTATTCTACTTCTAGGTTTTGCCAAGAATCAGTGGTCAGGCGTTTAATAAACAAGGCAGCCACTGGACAGCACAATTTAGAAATACTTCTTAAGTCAATGGAGAAATCCAAGCACAAAGCACCTGCCAGGTGAAGAAAGAAAGGATTGGCAAGAGCTGCACAGATGGCATGATATTGCAATTGTTCCAGAGTTTCTGAGCTAAAAAAAGATTCAGCGTTGGAGGATTCTACAAGAAGTTGCAATCAGATCTCCGTCATAATTTTTAAGGTTGAGCTTATTGTTAATAGGGATTCATGATACTAATGAGAAACAAGCGAATTGAACATTTGAGGTTGGAAAGCCAAAACATAAAAGATTTTATTTTACTTTTTTTTTGGAAGTGAAAAGGAAAAAAGGAGAGCTGGCAATGAATGTGTAGCAGACGAGAGCAGCTGATGACATAGACGTTGGTCAAGAGTGTATAACATCGGGTAGATAGGCATGAGCGTTGAACAATTTAAGGCGTATCCGTAAACTAGTTAAGCCGTTCAGAATTGGAGGAAATAATGGGTGGGATCCGAAAGGCATTGTCAGCTAGCAAAGGTATATAAGGATTAACAACTCCAGAATTATAGATATCCGAAAATTCCAAAATTCATTTTATCTGGCCAGCAAAAAGGAAGTGTTCCATTTCCAACTCAGCAAACGGTCACGAAGAACACAGAGAAGACAACACCAACACCAGAAAGCAATTAATTTCAGGAAGGCTAAAGCTCAAAGAAGAAGCAAAGAGTGGAGTAAAATTGTAAAACCAAGAATATCAGTGGATTTCAAAAAATCCTACTAGCAAGCAAGTAGCATCTTTAGAAGGCCATCCCAAAAAGAGAAAATCAAATCAAACCTAGGAAACCATCCATGTATGATGATCGAAGCCCATTTTACAAAAACGTAAACAAACCCCAGGAAGGAAGAAAGTAGAGTGTCTGAGACTCAAAATTGGAAAAATGAGTAAAATTAAAAAGACAGTCTACTAACAACTAGTAGGTGACAAGAAAAGAGAGGTAATAATAATGAGGATGACGAAGATGATTTTGATACGAAGAGAGTACCTTAATCCTGGTGGCCTCAGCGGCAAAGCCCGTAGCAGCAGATAATAGCCCTAGAAATCCCACCACGCAACACACAACTATCACCTTTCTCTCCATCGGATTCAGAGCCCCCCAAAAAACTTTTTTCTTAGAAAAAGATAAATACACTCCAAATCAATCAGGGATGGTTGCCCAGTTAATTTAAAGGGGAAAAGAAAAAGAAAAAAAGGAGGAGGAGTTTCAGAGATTAGTGCCCCGGGGAGGGGGGTTTCCAAAAGCTAGCAGTAGTAGCAGTAGAGTAGTAGTAGTAGTAGCAGCAGTAGTAGGATAAATTTTGGTTTAGCTCCGGACAGGAAGAGAAAGAAGAGTACAGGCGAAGGAAAGCATTGGACAGATAGGATCCTCTGTCCATTATATCTGTCTATTTTTCTTGTTCATTATATCTGTCTATTTTTCTTGTTGAATGCAAAACATAATTTCACTTATTAATATTATTGATGTGGCACGTAATATTGAATGCATATTTAGAAAATATTTGATAAATAGATTTCAAATTCAATTTTAGTATAGACGGCCTATTTTTTGAATTAACACGATTGCATACGTAATTACACCTCTGACAAACTCAAGGATCTAGTCCTCAAATGCTTGTCTAATATCATCTGAATCATGTGGCATGAAATTTCAAAGTAAAAGATTATGAGTATAATTAGAATATTATTGAATTTGAAACCCATTTATCAAACACTTTCTAAATATGTATTCAATGTTATGTGTCACATCAATAACGTTAATAAGTGAAACTACGTAATTTTACATTAAACAGACAAAATGAACAAATATAATGGACAGAGGATCCCGTCTGAAGCATTTAAAAAAAAAAAAAAAAAAGATACGTACTTAGCACAAATGAGCCCCTCTCTATCCCTTTCTTTCTTTTTTTTTTTTTTTTTTTGGGAAAAAGCTCTCTATCTCTTTCTCGAAACTGCATGATGCATGGCGGAATGTACACTTGTAATGTTGGGTGAATTTGATTTTGATCAACACGGGACGGCAAAAGCTGTATTTATTGAGTATTGATGACATATAAATTTATAATAATAATGAAAGGTAGGCTGTCCCTCGCCCATGAAATCGAAATGAAAGGTACTGTTTAATTCCTTTGTCCTTCTTGCGTCAGATGACACTCTTTTAACGCAAGCGGCCCCCTCCCCCCGGCCCCTGAGGAAAAAAAAAATCAGAATTTAAGGAATTAGTAATACAGTAATAAGCAAATAAAAATAACTTCAAAAAAACTTTAAAAAAAATTTCATATACACTACTACAGTAAAAAAATTTTAAAATCACACCGAAAAATAACTAATCCAAACAAATTATCCTACCTGCACACAATAATGGTTATAAGGGCAAGTCTCGTTCATCGACTCGCTATATATATATATATATATATATATATATTTTTTATCCTATGTAGATGTCATTGAGAGTTATAAGGCTGTCAATGTCATTGAGAGTTTCGGTACTTGTGATTTGTGAACTAGTAGTTCAGACTCCTCATTTGAAATTTTCTATTCTTCAAATACAATAATGCAGTGATATGCAAATAAAAATAACTTCAAAAAAACTTTAAAAAAAAATTTCATATACACGACTACAGTAAAATTTTTTAAAATCGCACCAAAAAACAACTAATCCAAACAAATTATCCTGCCTGCACACAATAATGGTTATAAGGGCAAGTCTCGTTCATCGACCCGCTATATATATATATATATATATATATATATATATATATATATATATATATATATTTTATCCTATGTAGATGTTGCCATCCATATGCATAAAACTTATTTACGCATACTAATTGGTAGCATAATCTCAAATAATATTTCGTTTCTATAAATATCTCAAATAATATTTCGCTTGTATCATAAACACATTTTCCAACTCATCTTTTTATATTTCCAATCTCTTTTTTATGTCACATACATCACATTATAAAAAGTGCTACAGTAATGATTCCAAATAATACTCTGTCCAAACAAACCGAACCTCGCTGTACTTAGTACTTATTTAACACCTAAACCTGCCATTTTGTACTGTCTACCCTTTGTCGTGCCATCAGCCAGAGAACTACCAAGCAGCTCTGGCAGCTAGTGGTTTAAATCAAGAGAAAAAATTTTGCGCTTCTTGAGCCACTAATATGGCAGCTGTCTGCTTCAAATGAAACACGCACCAAATCGATTCCACAACAAATCGTCAGGCAGGGAGCGAGAGGGGTGGCCGGGGAAGAGGGTCGGATAAATCTTTTTCCTTTACAAAAAAAAATAGGAGTATATATATAAATAAAAGTGACAGAAAAAATCCATTTTTTATTGGAGTCCATACGCCAATAATGCTCCAACACCGCCTATGCCGGCTATAAGCCCAAGGATAACACCAATGGGCAGCCCTCCGCCGACTGCTTTTCCGGTGGTCACGTCATACCTCGCAAACCTCTTCTTCGGCGCCCTGCATTGTGGGCATGCATAATCATCCGGCTGCAACCAACCAACAAAACACACCCAGTTACATTACCATGGCAGCTCCAAACCAAATTTTCAAAAAATGGTGTAACGGTAACACAGAACTCTCAATTTTAAAAATGAACAAACTAGTGACGAAAGCTCGCCTGCTCGTCGAAAGGTTTCGTTAAGGTGTATATGTAGCCGCAGTCGAGACATATATGAGTTGCTCGATCCTGGAAGATTAGAAATATCAGTCAGGCGGGGTTGCTGGGAATGAAACTCACGGAGGAGCCATAGCATACCAATTAACCAATTTATACATTCAGCCTTGCCTTCTGAGCGTCGGTTAACTTCCGTCCAAATCGAGGTGGTGCCGGCCGCTTCTGCAGCCTTTTGACGTCCACATCAGCTCCTCTGCATCCCCCAAAAAAAAAAGAAAAAATGATTTGACAAAATGAATAACAAAATATTTTCCTGAATGTACACGTTTCTTTGCAGCCAACTGGGATGATCAGACATCTCACAAAAACTACACCGACTCAGGAAGATGACGCTGCGTCCACAATCTGAAGATGGGAAGGTGCTTACCAACACCATCAAGCAAGCAACGGAGTACTTCTGAATTATATTTGATGTTTGTCAAGGCCCAAAGGGTTCAGATATTAGGAAGGCACTTTTCCCTATCATTACAATGATCATACATACAGGCTAAAAGTGGAACATCTCCCAAGGAGGCCAGAAAATGAAACGGGTCATTCATATAATACTCTGCCGTCAGCAATTCTTCGAAAGAATTAATCTGTACCACTACCAAATTAAGCTATGGCCCAAAATATCTTGTAAATTCCAGAGTCAGAGTGGGGTTAAAATCCAAACCCAAATTTTGCATGTAAAATTAATGAGCAAAGCAAAAGAAGAGCTTGCCTGCTGATTACAAAGTAGACGGAATCTTGCTTCGCCTGAAGAGCGGTTTTGGTAAATCCAAGCTTATCAGCAGGCCAAAGTTCATCCCCAAAGAAGCTGCTTGTGTAGAGGACCTGGTCGCCAACCTTGAGCCCTGCTCTTGCAGCGTTGCCACCACCTTCTACTCCCTGATACCAACCAACTTGAAGTTAGCAGTAGACAATTGGCATCAAACGAAAATTCTATCGGCCGGTTTTTGACAAGGACGTAAGAGGGGAGGGGAGCGAGGACTGACCGCGATGACCACACCACCACCCGACTTTTGACCCAAGGTTAGGCCCAGCGGTTTGTCTACTTCAACCTCGATGGTCCTTGAAGCCCCAGCAGTTCTTGCTGTAATCTCAAGACCTCTTCTTTCTTTTCTGCCGGTACTAGCAGTACTGATCTCAGCCATGAAAGAAGTTGAAACTCCCCATTTGGCCTCTTGAAGCGAAAGCCCTTGGATGCTGGATTTCTGCCAGCACCAACACCAGAAATTTATCAGTAATACTGACAGCAATTATGTACAAAGAAGTTGAAGCAGAATTAGGGTATACTTTTAACCATATATACCTGGGAGTGGGGAGTTAGCAGCTTTGCATTTGCAGATGGAATTGAGGAGTTGGATTTGAAGGAGAGGTTTCTTGCATAAGCAGCTGAGCAAGAAGAGGAAGCACCCGTTACGACAGAGGATGACATATCGGAGGGGTGCTGGGCTTTGATCTATAGGCAGCGGTCACCGGCGATGAATCAGGACTTAGAACTAGAAGAAGGGCTGGGCTGGGCTGGGAGAAATTTTGTAGTGCCCGTCTCCTTTAGCAACATTATCCATCGGTCTTGGTTGGTTGGGAATTTTGTGGACGATATAACACTCGTCCAAAGTCCGAATTTGGACGACGTGCCTCTCCTAGGAAGGACATGGACATTTTATGCTGTATTTGGACTGCAATTTTTTAAAGAAAAATTACTATATTTTTTATGAATTTTTTTAAATTAATTTTTTATTTTATATATATTAAATTATTACAGTAATTTTTTTTTATATAAAATTTAAAAAAATGCAATCCAAACAAATCTTAAATTATTAATAAATGAAGACACATGTGATATATGCATTGCATTGCATCATATAGAAATAATTCACTGTTGAAGAGCCAAGTGCCCAGAGTCCACCCTCATTGCTCCAAATAATTAAAACTAACAGACCAAGAGAGCCACTGCCTGCAAATCGAGGAGAAAAAAAAAAACAGACACCCGTATAAAAAGAAAAAAAATTGTGATAATTTTGTGTATATGAATAAAAAAATAATTAGAAAAATATGCTTCACAAAAAATATAAAAACTTTTCTATGGAAAATTGTTTGGGTATAAGGAAGTCACGTCTTGGTTATCCAAAGGATCACCTTCCTGTGTGGCATGCAAAAAAGGCACACAATGATGATTCTTTGACAGTTAGCCAGTTATTTGAAATATATCAAAATACATAGAAGGATGACAATTGCCCCATAAAAAGGGATGGGACAAAGTCTCAATTTGATCATCTAAAATAATAAAATAGTTCCAACTTCGTTGTTCAAACCTACTTGATTAATAACTATAGGAAAAAAGCGGACTTTAAAAGACAAAAATCATAAAAGATTTTTTTATCATTCTACTGAAACATTTCTTACTTTAGTGATTTCAATCAGATAAGTGTCTTCATTTTTTGAGATAAATTAGTGTACTTTTTTTTTTTTTTTTGAATTATAGTTCCATGAACCCTCTAAATTGCTTTATATCTGTAATCTGATTGGTAATTCCATTTTACCCTCCCATCTTTCTTTACGTCCTTCTCACCTCTACATGCCAGGTACAGAGTTCGAATTTTAAATTTAGCAGTAAAAAAAAACTTTAAAAATTTTCCCTGACCACTGAGACGACTTCCATTGGTTTATTTGTAATGTTTTTAAGAAAG